GGGTGCTAGAATATTCTCATTTTAAGTTAAACTGATTTTCCCTACATTCCAAGTGGCGGCTGGTGTCACGTGCTTGGCTATTTCTCTTTGAGGCCTACTATTTTCGAACAAGGTACATATGGAATGAAACAATCATTGTTGTCCTTTTCATGACTCATAGTCTTCCAAGAATAACTGACGCTAATGTCTTTATCCTCCTGATCATGCCTCCCATATGTCACATGTATAAAATGACTTATTTCTTTTAAATCTCAAAATCATAAACATGGTCCCTACATTATCAATGCCTATTAGGCAACTCTATGCCTCATTTTTCTAATCAATAAAGTTATCACAATGATTAACCATGTCACTGCTATTTGTAGTAACCTTCATGTCTCTTAGGATATAACCTCCTGAAATGCCTTGTTCAGCACGTTGATGGATTTTGAATAATTCCAGCCCAATCTCGGACCTCGTTGTTCCTATTTATAATAACCTATAGGGGTTGAAGGTTCAAACATGTGGGGTTGAAGGTTCAAACATGTCAAAGAAGAATCATCATCCTGTGATCAAATATATCGGATAGGAAGTTTTATGATAATATTCAAGCAAGCACATCTTAGAGTAATTGATGGAGGTTGTCAAAGGTTTAGTTTGGGTGTTCGGCATAGGGATTAAGAGTTGAAGAAAGTGAACAGGTTATTCTCAAAATTTTCTTTATGAATGTATTGGGTGAATTGTTAAGGAAGGTAAAGCATGTGTAGTCACATTAGGCCATATGGAATATTGAAGGAAATAGGCCAAACTATGAGTATGATATTTTTCCATCGTTGTCCTCCATGCACCCGACGCATCATGTATCTAGATTCCTGAAGGTTGTTGGAAATCCTTTGCCTATCGTTCCGGTGAAAACTATTGAAGGTGAAGTTAATGGGTAATTGGCTTATAAGAGATACCTAGTTGTCATCCATGTTAGATAAGTTCGGAAATTGAAATCTGCCTCCATCAAAGTAAAGGAAGTCTTCTCACTTGCCTGTATAACCAAATGTTTGTGGTTCAAAAGGGTACTTGCTATGTGTGATGATTTAAATATGTACAACTCATGTCTAGATACCACTTCTGTTAATATAATGCCCTTAATGTTGAGATCAGTGTTGTTGATATATATTGTGATGCTTTGTTGAGTTATGGATATATTGTTAGAGTGGTTTTGGTGATTCTCTGGTAGGTGGATAGGCCCAATTACAGAGGAGACTCTGCCAAAATTTTTGGAAAATTTGGGAGTTAGTCAAATTTGGGGGATTGTGATGTGTGAAAGGAGGAGATGAATTATGTTGGGTGTTTTGGGCGGGCTCTACTCCTCATTCGAGGACGAATGATCCTAAGCGGGGGAGAATGTAAGGCCCAGTAAAATTTTACCAAGAACTCGAGGTTTGTGGTGCCAAGGTAGGCTAATGTGTAAGGCCCCTTAAATTTTTATTGCTGATTCGAGCGATTTCGAGCTTAGGAATTCAATTTAATTTAGACCTGAATCACATGAGAATTACTGGAGTGAATAAAGTTATTTGGATACTTGAAGATAATTATTTTATTAATCTTTGAGTGTTGTAATAATGGGGAACCCTTGGATGTTAACTTCAAAGCAATAATACTAAAAAAAGCACAGTGATAGCACCAGTGAAAAAATATTGTATCCTATTTTAGCAAACCAATGAGCTAAAACCTTATAGCACAGGGATAGCACCAGTGGAAAAATATTGTACTTGGGCCTATTAATACATGAGCACGGAGAGAGAAGAATAAAAGGATCTTAAGACAAGGGCTTTTCTCTCCATCACCCATCCGGTCAAGGCTTCCAATACACACGTAAGGTGAGTTTTTAAGTGTATTTTTATGATGATTCCACTTCTCAATCACTAGTTACAACAAGGTTTTGTATTGAATTCCATAGGATTTCTTCAAAATCTCAAGAACACCCCAAAAGTTGACTTTCAAGATTTGATCTACTAGAGGTAATCTTTCACTCTTAAGCCTACATGCATGGAGTTTTAGTGAATAAATGAGCAAAAAATAAGTACTAGCACTTATAAGATGGTGATTGGAAGCCATAATTACTTAAACTAGATTATTGGGTATTGTAGAGATCTTGTAATGAGTTAATTAGTGAAATTTGGTGGATGTGAGCTCATTGATTATTAAAATGGTGCTAAAGAAGGCAGTTAGTAATCAAAGGATATTGTATTATATCTTTTTGGTGGGAAGGAGGGATTGTTGGATGAAGAAACACCATTACTAGAGGTAGTTGAATGCTATGCACTCTAAGTGTTTGATAAAATGTCAAAACGACCAAAAACCTAGAAATTTTTACTAATATTGGTCCAATTGAATTATGTTAATGTAGATTGAAGTTGTAAGAGTAGTGGGCGATTTTAGTAGCACTAAAGAGCTCCATCAAGGTATGTTGGCTAAACTACTCTTTTAGAAATGAATTCCATGATTTTCCCGTAAGTTTCAAGTATGATTGGCTCAAGTTCCTAATTCCTATGTTCCGAGTTATTCCTTATAAAATTGACTATTCCGAATGAGACTTATGTTGAAATATATATGTTCAAAGTTTGTGTTGTGTATTAAAATATTATGGCTTTGAGTCGTATACCAAATTAAAGCTAGTATGCCAAATTGTGTGAGAAAAATAGATATGCTTAAGACTCTTAATTGCTCATATATGTACCTAAAGTCTTGATTGGAAATGCCTTGTTGTTGATAATCTATAAAGATGCTCGAAAGTGAAAGAAGTGAGTTGAAGATATAAAGTGTGGTCACCGTGCAAAGAATGAAAGTTATACTTATGGCTAGTGGTGCCAATGAAATGAGATAATGTGAGAAATATTATGAAATGAGCCTTGATTCAACTATTCCAAAATTACTTCAAAAGTAGATTTTCTTAAAAGTTTATGTCCTCAAGTCATGCCCCATTATGGTTGTTTTAACTAATGATATGCTTTGTCAGTATTTTCAATGTGTTTTGCGTTCTTACATATTCGTGAGTGAAAATTGTGTATTGCCCTTTTTGGGAAAAAGTATATCAAGAATAAATGGTGTGTTACTTGGTTATGATTTTAACTTGCTCTTCGATTGCCAATCATTTTACTCCATTTCTTGGAAATAAATCTATTATGTTTAAAGCCTTCATTTCTAACGAACTCAAAGTTACAATTTTCGAAATATTATATATGTTGATATTTATGATGATGATCCATGGAAGGAAAGATATGAAAGTGTGGAATATGGAATATAGCCACCGTGCCATGAATAAAGAATCTTGTGAATGGCCAAAAGAGCCAAGGAAATATTATTGTTGTGATTGGTTAAAAATACTAGTGAAGATTTATACAATGTGAAAGATGATGAGGTAAATACATTTGTGTCTATGTTACCTTTGTGTGCAAAAATAAAAATAATATTTTTAGGAGTATCATTAGCAAATCGAAGAAGGGTGGGTTGTAGTAACCCACACCTAAAACTACACGTGCTGGTGTAGGAGTGGATTGTGATTATTTTCCTTATTTGGGATGAGATTATTCCCCTTAATTGGGATGATATTAAAAATAGTTGTGAATTAGAAAGTCAACCCACACGACATATGTGGGAAGGCGGCCTAGCTGATCGGGTGGAGATCGGACGCCATATTGCGAACATGGTGGTACTACTCTTAGTAATATTTTTTAGCATCACATGTCGAACCACATTGTTCGTGGGGAGATGGACTAACCGATCGGGCGTGATCGGATTCCATGCTACAAACACGGTGGTATATCAGTGCTAATGTTCTCCCAACCAAAAATATATATTATTTTTGTATTTTGAAAATTATTACGTTTAACTAGGCATTTGGATATTATTGATTGTGACTTGCCGCTTCTATGGTTTTCCCTTTCTTATATTGGCATTTTATTTTGAAAGAGGACATTTAACTTTACATACTAGTACTATTCCATATGTACTAACTCCCATTTTGTCGGGGGCGCTGCATCTTCAATGGATGCAGGTGGTTTATCTGCGGGCAACTTTGGTCCTCGTTAGCAGTTTCTCCATATTCAGCAGGTTTTGGTAAGCCTTACTCTATTCCGGGCCTGATGTTATTTGAAGTTGTACTTTGTATTTTTAGGTATAGCCGGGGTCTTGTTGCCGGCATTTTCATATTACTCTTCTGTTATACTTAGAGGCTCTGTAGACAGGTTGTGGGTGGTGTTTGATGTGGGGAATTCAACTAGAAATATTGGTATTTGGCAAACATATTTTTCATTATATCTATAAACTTGTAATATTTTAGAAATTATGAGTGAAAATGCTAATGGAAATGAAATGGGAGTTGTTAATGAAATATTTTTAGTATTTGATTAATATAGTGCATCTCCTCTTTATTCATGGATGAGTTTGGGTAGAAGAAAATCTAACAGGCTTGCTCGACCGGGTTCACTCGGTTGAGCGTCGGTCGCGCTCCCTGAGTTCGGGGCGTGACAGGATCCATGACCTCGATATTCTCGAGGGCAGGCGTCATGCCCCCGGATTCTTGTTCGGTGGGACTTTTGGCTCGATTTCGGTCCCTTGCCACTATGTCTCGAGTCTGGCTTATCTTGTTGGAGGCCAGGATGCACCGTGAGCTCGATTTCGCCCGTATACACCCATAGAAATGGTATGGTAATATCCACCTATATATAGTGTGCATTTTGCATTTTGAATTAAGGGCTTGAAACTTGATAATGAGCCATTGCGACAACCAGAATTTATCAGGTGGACCCAAAAGCCCAACAACCTATTATCAAAAGATAAACTTGTGGATGATCCAAATACTAATGATATAGACTCACCCTGGCCAAGCTTCAAATCAAGGTATAGACTCATCAAGAAGATAAAATTTAAAGGAGGAGAAGTTGAAAAGAAGGTCGGAATCCAATCTCAGAAGAATTTTCAAGAAGGAAGGAAGAAGAATTGTTAAGAAGGAGCAGAGCAAGTACCTGTTGCATTATGTTCATGAAAGTAGCAAATTATCCTTGTATCTTCTTTTCCACTTCTAGCTGGATCCTCTTCTCTGCTTCTACATTCACGAGTTCACGCTCCTCTGCCAAGTTCATGGATAACTCACGTTCCAACTTCCTTTGCAACTCAAGTTCCGTATTCTTTTGCAACTCAGTAGCCATTTGTTCACATTCTTCTTGCAACTTCCGATCCGATCCATGCCGGCTTGCATCTCTTGATGCACAATTTCCATAGCAGAAGATACACTGGACTCTATGTTTGCCTATTGTGTGTGACTCTTTTTGGGAGGATTCTTTCCATACCCTTTTCTACGAACTTAGCCCTTTCTCTCACCAAGAACAGAGGATAAAATCTCATCTATATTCATGGAATGCTCGATCTCTTCAGATTGTTGCTGAGCGACAAGTTCTTGGAGCTGACCCGGTCATTTTCACATACCTAAATGGCAACAATGTAGCAGAAATAATAAGAAAAGATACTTAACTGGTTTCACAAATAAATTACAAATATAAAATGCTCTCGTTTGAACACAATAAGGGAAAGACACAAGGTAAGCCTCTTATTCTTAGCGGAAACAATAAGAGAAAGACACTTCCGGTTGTCATTTTAATTTTTAAGAGAACTCAAATCTTTAATCTAATATAAGAGCCTCTTGCCAAAGTTCCATTCTCCTCAAAGCTTCATGTAATGCCAATGGAACACAGTGTAAGCCTCTTTATATAACATTAAGAAAGAGCTCTAAATTTAGCAATTATCATTTGACGCTAAATCTTCTATAGGATAGTTAACTGAAAAGTTGCAACAATACTAATAGATATGAATGTTTATCTGAGGAAAAAAACTAAAAAATTGAGATAATAGATAAATAGGATCCTTGTCCAAAAAGTTCTACCAAGTCATCTCCTATTTTTCATACTCTAAACTCTTTTTTTTTATTAAATAATTGGCTTCATTAATTTTATCAAGAAGATGCAAATATTACAAGAAGCAACAGAAGCATAGAAGCTTCAAAAAGCAAAAAAGACCACTTGTTAGCTTACTACATATATATTACCTTAGATACAAAGATCTAACAAAGTTCAAAAAGGTTTTAGGGGATTCTACAAGGGGAACATTTGCCCAACTAAATAAAAACAGAAGGCATTTAGCTTTTAGGGTGTGGTTAGGAGTTGATAATCTATCTAAACTCCTTTTCTAGATGATCAAAAAAGCATATTACATTCAAATTATTGTTTAAGTGGACAAATACATGCATTTACCAAAGAAGTATTATGTTTTCTTATAACCTTATACCTTATAAAATTTAAAAGTATGCATCTACTGATTTAGGCACATAGTCATGAAAGAAAAAAAAAATAAGCATGGAATATCAACATGCAATAGGTCTCTCAAGAAGAAGCTTTTAACTTACCCAAAAAAGAGACAGGTGAGAATTCTGTCAAGGCTGAAAATCAATAATAACAACACCAAATAAGCTTCAAATGAGTCTTTCTGTATGTTTTTTTTGTATTCTTGTAGATTATCAAATGGTTCAGAGAAATTCGAGATGAAATCTGAGAGTACAAATGTAAAATCACTGAAATAATAATAATCCCTAACTGTATGTTGAAAATTTTACCTTACAGAATACAGAATCCTTATAAAAAAATCCAAACATAAATTTATAATAAATTAATATGGGTTTTCAGTTAAACATATGCGCAAAACTCAGAAATGTCGCTGAGATTAGGGAAAGCATTAGGTCACCAACGGCTATATGAGATTAGGGAGAAAAATCGGATGCGCGATTCTTCCTCCACAAAACTTGATTATGCACATCAATTTTTATCCTAAAAGAAAAAGGGAAAAATTAGGGATTTGACCACAAACCTGATAAATAAGATTCACATCTTGATTTGAGAGATTTAAAGCTGGGTGAAATTTTATCAGAGAAGGAATTTTAGAGAGGGGGAGGAGAGATTTTAAAGAAAGAGAAGTGTTTGAGCATCTCTGTTTTGTGTCCTTTAATTAGGAAGAATTTATTTATTTTATTTTGTTATTTCAATTAAAATATAAGGGGTCTAGTAGCGACCCAGTCGCTCCAATAGAACTTTAGCGGTGACAACTTAAAAGTCGCCACAAATAATATGGAGCCAAAATTTTAGTTTGAGAGGGACTGAAAATTTAAGCCACATTAGAGGTGACCTCAGAAAAGTCGCTGGTAAATGATCACTTTTAGTGGCGACCTATAAACTCGCTGCTAAAGGTATAACTATTGTAGCAACATATAGGGTCGCCGCTAAAAATACAATTTCTTGTAGTACCAACTGTAATAGGCTCGATAAAAATATACCCGGCCATCATAAGGCTCGGTAGAATCGTACCCGGCCATGTAAAGCTCGGTAAATCCCAACTGATTAGTGGTTGCACAATAGGTGCCATACCCGGCCGACTATAGCGCGACTCGGTAGAGTAAAATAGATAAATATATATAATGCATGCTGGACTCATGGAATCACGTTTTAAACCTTTCGGAGTGATGTAAGGTCGTCGTGCCTTCGATTAACATTATGGACATCCATACCATCAATATGAACCTCAATAGGATTCAAGGATCATACATACTTGCTTAGAATAACTTTATGAGGAAAGAACAACATGGACACCCGTAGTTGCTAGGAGTAGATCCTTTATAAAATAGCGTATTGTTTACGTTCATTTCACTTTAGATCATGCTAAAATAATGAAGGAAGTGCCTTAACATACCTATGCAATCTTCTCTCCAATCGTCAACCAAGCTCAATATGATCTTCTTACGTCTCCAATGAGTAAACCGACTTCGTAGATGACTTGTGATGACCTTTGCCAACTTTTGTTCCACAACTCGCTTGACTTTAAAAAGTAACACACGACTATCATACGACTAAAATAACTCATAACATAACCTCCTTATCATGTTAAGAACCCTAGTCTTACCCCAAAAGTACATGTTATAATATTCTAAACTTGTCGACTTTCGACGAAATTTATTTTTTTCACTTCGTTTAGCATCTAAGCTTTTCAACCCTCTTGGTACTTGTTATTCATGATCTTAATTATTTTTCACCCCTAAGATAACATGATTAACTTGCTTTATGTATTCTCAAAGATGATCTCATTTTTAAGCTTATATCAATTGACTTACAACGTAGTACAAAAACATGGGGTGCAATAGTGTTGTACTAATGAAACCTTCATTTTGATTAATACCACACCCCCAGAATATGCTGGGAAAATTTATTTTAAAAAAAGAAGAGAAGGAAAGTAATGCACAAAATTGCACCAGTTGTCCCCTTAATATATTGGTCTTTAATTATTATTATTTTTTGACTTTATTACAAAAATATACTTCCCTTTCACCAGAACACCATAGTTCTTTAATATTGGAACCTTTAACTTCTTGTTTGGGGTAGAAGCGGTAAGCTAATGATTAATTATTGTTAAATTTATTTGAATGTTGATAATTTATTAGTTCAAGCAGTGATTTAGTAATTTACTTTAAAACTCTCAAAATTTCATTATTGGTCCTTAGAAAGTGTTGGAGAAAAAAAGCGGGTCTTCTTAATTCGGTGTTATTTGACAAAACTGGTAATTGAGGATCAATCGTTTGTGTTGGTACTTGAAGGTTTAGTTTAATCTGAGATCATTTGAAGCAGATTTAGGATGGTTTAATCGAAATTAAAATTGTAATTTTATAGAATACTTTATTGAACAACACAAAAAAATTATACTAATTGGGTAGACTTTGATCACAAAATTAAACCAAGGAAATTCATGAGAAATTAGAACTACGAAGACTACAAATTTCTCCAAGAGAAAACATCCCAGCCCTTTAGACATGGTGCTAAACTGGGCCGAACTACTCTGACCATTTTGGTTCTTCTTGTTATAATTGGGCTAAGAATGGGCTAAATGAAGAAACCATAAAACCTCCCTTTGAGCACCTCAAAACTCAGAGTTAAATTCTCAAATGGATATTCAACTTAACAAAATTAACTAGTAAAGTTATTATCTTTTTTTTATTCAATAAAGTCACTCGAGTTCATCCATGTATCTTCAACGTAACAATGACTTGAAAGCCATTTACACAATAGAGTAATTGCAATTTGCATCCTTAATGTATGTACTCTTTCGTGATTTAAACCTTCTTCTTTTTTAATGATTTACACCTTAATCTTTTTAGTTCCTTGAAAAATCATAAATAATTCATATTTCAATTATTTAGAAGAACAAAATAGAAAAAAGTAAAATTAAGTGAAACAAAAAACAAAAACAATATGAATAACATAAGTTGAGGGGAAGCCAATAAACCAACTTGCAGATCATCTAGCTAACGTTTCTTTTGAAGTAGCAGAGCTAGATTACCATTTTTCTCAAGAAATGCAATCGCATTCTTAGCTAGCGTTTGACCATAGATTCCCAAATTTATTCTGAAAAATTTAATTTGGGTAAAGTTTGGTTTGAAGATGAAAATGTGTTTGGACATATGTTTTGGGTAAAGTTTGATTTGGAGAAACATGAAACATGACTTATACCCACAAGTTCTAAAAACTATCACAAATACCCAACAGTACCATTATCAATAACATTCATATATTATCGCAAACCATAGTCCTGAACATAAATAAATTTGATACAAAATTATCATTTTTATAATGAGTTACATGATACACCATCAGATGACCGAGAAGACGAAGTAATATCGTTACAAAATAATAAATTGTGGGTTCTTTTATAAAATACAAAAGTTTGGGGCAATTTTAAAAAAATATAATAGTGATATTTTGGCCCTAAACCAGCTATTGAGCTGGTTTTGGGATTTAGGATTTGGGATTTGACCAAAATGTAGGCAAAATCTATGGCCAAACATGTGTTTGCCAAATAAAATTCAAGTTTATTTTTGCAAATCTATGACCAAACGGGTCCTTAATCTTGACAAAATGCAATGCCCTTCCTTTCTTATAAAATGTGTTGGAGACCAAGCTTGATATCCAGTGCAGGGGCGGATCCAGAGCATGAAGATCGGGTTCACCGGATTTTATAATATATATATATATACTAAAATATTTATTAAATATCTACAATTATTATATTATGAACCCATAAACTATTGTATATTAATTTGAAATCGTTATAGGAATTCATTAACTATAAATCCTGGATCCGCCTCTGATCCAGTGGAATGCACATTTTAGAGTTCCATTTGATTTGGTTAGTTGCGCTCTAGATTGACATTAATGTCAATGGACAATGGTGCTATGGTGCCTGAATAAGATGAAAACCTCGGTCACTATTGGTTGGCCAATTTTGAGTGTTTTGTCCATTTTGTAATTTTGTGCAAGTATTAAGTTTTTACATTTGCTAAGTTCTTATTTTGTAGTAATATCAACTTGGAGTACTCTAGAAACTCTAAGTTGATACTAGCTCTTTTAATTTCGCAAATTCATATTTGTAATATTGATGTGAGGGATAAATTTAATTTTATTAATAAAATTAGCCACTAATCACCCTGCCTAGTGGTTTGTTAGCACGTATAACATACTTGTTGATTTGGTACATGTATTGGATACAAATATATACAGTGGTTTATTAGCTTAAAAAAATAAATATGAATAACAGAATTTGCACTCCGTCCTATTTGAAGGCGAACATCAAGTATACTTACATCTTCACTCCACTCAAGTAACAATAACATGATGTTGTGTTTTCTCTTCCATTAGGTAATTTTTCTGACCTTTGAGAGAGATGTCATATAATCGGATAATAAAGAAATTGTTTGAAGTCATTTCGATGAACTTATACTATATAGAGGTTTCTTTGCTTTTTTGTATTAACTCTCCTTATTAATTGAGATTATTTATGATTTTGCAAAGAGCTAAGGAGATTAAAGCCTAAATCAATAATAAGGTGTAAATTAATAAAAGAGCACAAATACTAAAGGTGCAAATTGCAAATTACTTCACTTTTAAAGTGACTTTCAAGCCATTATTACTTTATAAGATAAATGAATAAACGTGAGTGATTTTATTGGAATAAAAAAAGATAAACAATTTTACTAGTTAATTTCATAAAAGTTGAGTGACCATGAATTAAGTCCAAAACTTTTGGTATTTGTTTTTTCTTTAAAGAAAAATCCTTCAGATGTAACTTAGGACTGTATGTGATGTAGAGGAAAAAAAGAATAGAAAAGAGAAGAGGGAGTGATGATTGGAGCAGAAGGTGCAGTGTAAAACATGGACTAAGCAGTAAAATTCCAGGACAAGTAATTTGTCTTGAAGCCAAGTTTAGACAATTTGTGAATTTGGCAACTTCTCAACTCAACTACCACTGCTTGGTCCATAGGAATATTATTATATAGTCCTTTTACGTTCTCTTTTTGTGTTATCTTCTGTGGAACAGATCCATGCATTCGACTGACTTGTCCCAGTCTAAGGAGATTCTCATCAACTTTGTTAAAAATCTGGTAATTTAAATATGAGTACATCCTTTCCCATGGAAATATTCAAATCCACCCATTTTGATCGTATGCGTCTATAGAGGAGCTTTAGAACAATGGTGAAGTTGTCTCTATATGTGATCACACGTTCGAGCCGTGGAAGCAAACACTAATGTTTGTATTAGACTAGACTGTCTACATCACACCCTTAAAATGCGGCCATGAATGAATCCTGCATGAATGCAAGATACTACTATGTGCATCGCGCTGCCCTTTGTCTTTTGCCCAAATCTCGTGCACACGAGGCAGTTAATTTATGTGTAATACTAGAGTACTCATTATTATTCTGTGACAGCAGGATAAACTCAGTCTTAAAAATTCTTTAATTGAATGAATAGTTTAAATTGATACCGGTTAATGTCCAAATACTTCATCTATACCTGTTGGTAGTTGTAATAAACGCAGCTTAAACAAGAAATTGGTACTATAGTTTACTTT